GATTAGATGCCAACGAACGAATTCGAGAGTGTAACAATTAGTTGTATCTCTGCCAAATACTGGGCCCTGTCCTTGAAGATGTTGCAACGAAGGTAGGGGCGACAGGCCAGAAAGTAAATGCACCATAGCTCGACACCTGATTCCACGGAGATCTATCCAAGGCGCTGCAGGATCCCCGGGGCTGGAAAACTCCCGGGTGTGCGGGGCCTTGGGAAGAAGCCCGTCAGGAGCCAGGAGTGCCAGGGAACCGCGCTGAGCGGCAGGAGACGCGACTGGAGGCTGCTCCTCGGTTCGCCTGGCCACTCAGCATCTTCTTTTCATGACCTGCGGGTCCATCGACCCTCCCTGCATCTTGCCTGCGTGACCTCAGCCCCAGCGGAACCCCTGTGTCGCGGGACCCCAGACACATCCTCTTCCACCCCCGGATCTGCCAGCCCCGCGTCTTCCAGATCAGTAGCCCGCTACCTGAGAGACCTCCACCTGCGGGCTGAAGCCCCGCGGGCACCCGAGCGCGCGCCCCTGGTCCCCGCCCCCTGCCTGCGAACTGCGACGTGCGGGACCCCGCCCCGCCCCCTCTGCCCGCTGGACCCCGGCCCCGCCCCGCCCCCGTGGCCCCGCCGCTAGTCCCGGGGGGGCGGGGCCGCGCGCAGCGGCGTCTCCAAGGCGGGGGGCGCGAGGCAGGGGGCGGGGCGGTCTCAGCGCCGGCCAATCAACGCCGCGATCACATCCATGCAAATACGAGCACAATGGAGCTAGCCCATCACTCGCCCCTGCAAGCAAGCTTGAAATGGGCTTCTGCCTGAGCGGCAGCAGGGATGACCAATGGCTCAGTGTTTTGGACCGGCGAAGCCCAATGGTGCAGCAGGGAAGGCGGGCCCGAGCTGGGTTAGGGTGTCCTTGCAGGGTGTCTGAGCTAAACTTCACCAAATAATAGCTGTTTGTATTTTGGCTGCTGCAGGAGCCATTTTAGGTAAGTTCTTCTCTTAACTTTTTATTTTCCTCCCTGGCCTCGGCGGACCGGCCTTGTCCGCGGGTCCTCGGCCCCGCCCCGCCGGCCGGGCTAGGGTGCCCCTATGAATGGAGCCGGGATGAGGGGCTGCGGCGGCGCCCAGGCCCGGCCGGACTGGGGTCCGAGCGGGGCCGGCGGGCGAGCGGCCTGGCGGAGGGCAGGCGGCGGCCTGCGGCCTGGGAAAGGGTCGGCCTCTGCCGCGCCCGGCTCCTGCTCTCGCTCCAGCTTTCGCTGTGGCCGGGCGGCCGTCCTTGGGAGTGCGCCGCTGCGGGCCGCGCGCAGGGGCGGGGGTCCGGGCGAGACCCCGGCCGCCGGCCTGGCGGGCGGGGGCGGGGCGTGCGGAGGCCCCCTCGGGGCGTGCGCGGTGGGACCCCCGGGCCCGGCGACGCTGGGGCGGGGCGGGGGTGACCGCTATTCCCGCCGCCGCCCCCGCAGAGAAGTTGCTCTATTCGCGTCCTGCGTCTGTTTGCAGGGGTGGAGGAGGGTGGGCTGGTGCCAGGCTGCTGCTCCGGGAGGGGGCGGGGGCCCTGGCGCGGCCACGGATCGCGCACCCCCTCCGCCCCCTTCTTACGCACTAGCGCGCACTCGCCCAGAAAATTGGAGCCCTGGAGGGGTCCCGCAACCCAGCTGCCAAGTTTTGAGCATTATTAGATTGCATATTTGAGCTTTAAAAAAAAATAATCTGTCCTCTTCGGGGTATTTATTTTGTTCGCTGTTGAGAAGTAACGGAGTCCGTTGCGCCCAGATTTCCAGGGACCTGCCTGTCGGATGTGCAGAGGGTTGGCAGCTACTCGGATTTTTTTTTTGAAGGCGTTATTAGGAAATCCCCTCACTAGTGAGATAATTGAAATTTGAGTTTGTTTGCAGCTTCAGTTTTATTTGACACAATTAAAAATGCATAAGCAGGCACTTTATATTTGTGTACCTAAAGTATTCCTAGTTCCAGTTATGACGAATGTGACTGTGGTTTCAGTCGTGTGGGATCTAATAAGGCAGTATAATTCAATTTTGAGCTTGTAGGCCCCTGATCTCCAAATTAGGGTTTATGGACCATTAGTAATCTGGCCAAGGTTTCTCATGAATCCTTGGCATCTCTGAGCATCTCTCTGGGGCTCTGTGTGTGCCTTATTTCTCACCCCTTGAAAACTCTTCGTTTCTGGTAGCAGATCTGCGAAACCGAAAACACACATTTTAAATATTTACAGTTTTCAAGATGTCTGAAATATTGCCTGAGATTTTATTATTGTTTCCCAGATGGTATATAACAGTACCATCCCAATGGGCCCCAAATTTCGATGTACTTTATGGAAATATTTTTGTGGTGTTTTGGGCAAAAAACCCAGGCAGACCACTGGGTTTTGCTCCCTAGGCTGATGTGAGCTGTGTGACTTACTGGGGGTCTGTCCCATTTATTTCATGGCACAGTAGAGTTTGACTGTAAGCCAAATTGGAAAATCACGTTGGCATCCTCAGAGAGAGTTTTTGTGAACTTTGTGGCTCTCTGGCAACAGAAAGAAGATTTGAGATCTGTGTATGATAAAATGATTAGGCATGAATCCTCAAGTAACGTGGTTTATGCCAAGCAGAGCAGGTGGTTTCATATAAGCAATGCATCATTATAACCAAAGGCCTTGGGAAAATGCGGAGTGGTAAGATTATTAATTTTGGAGTTCTTTCTGTTCCAGGGCAGATTTCATAGATGAATTATAAGTTCTTTGGAATTTAAACTTTTTCCTTGATGAATGGGCAACTAAAAGCTAGCTTGCACACACCTTTCCCCAGCTTTTTGTTAGCTTTGGAGTCTCTCTAATAGTAACCAGACTACGGTACTGTTCTTGGTGTATTCTGGCTGTGGGCTAAGTAAATCTAGACCTGTTGTGAAATTGAGTTGTGTCTCTGTGGACCACAGTCTCCCTGGTGTCACGTTTTTTTATTCTGCAGTTATTTCTTTGCTTTTCACATTTAGCTCTTGTTATATTTAATAGCACTGCCTACTCTTTCAATATGATCACTTTTACAACTTTTAAATATTCTATGTCTTTATAATTTGTATAATTTATTATTCTTGTAGTTGGAAGTTCTCTGAACTCATCACTCTATTACTTAAGGCAAACCACACAAGACATTGAAAGACAAGTTAGAAGTAAAGTGGGAGAAATACACTAACTGCTGCATTTCTGGAAGATCCTTTGACTGTTATGTTTTTGTATTTATTGATTTTTGTATAACTATTTCAAATACCATAGAAAACCTGAAGCAGAATCATATCTCATTAGAAACCACATCTTTTTTTGTGACTTTCCTGTAACATTGCAGAAAACCTGTCAGAAACAACAGGCGGCCCTTGGGCTACTTTGCCTTGGACAGCTCCTTGGTTTATAAAAGTTTCGGAGAAATGTTTTGGTTTTCTTCGAAGTATGGCTTTGCCCCAAGCAGAGTTTGTGGTTATGTCTTCCTGTGTTGTACCAGGAGGTTCCACAACGTCAGGCTTGATTCTCCCTGTAGGTGCCTATGTTTTTCACCTTTCATGGAAAGACTTTAACTGGTAATTACTAAATGAGATCACTCATGGACCACCCATGTTCTAAATCTCTTAAGAAGTTTAAGGATTCAAAGATTCTACCTGCAAAAATATCTTTGGTATAGGAATGACAATGACAGTATACCCATATCAACTGAGGAGGCTGCACTCTCCCTCCCTCCTTCCCCTTTCCCCCACTCCTTCTCCTTTCCCCCACTCCTTCTCCTTTCCCTGCCTGGTATAACAAGGCTTGAAATAGTTTTCTTTTTAATACATATTTAATGATTCTCTTATATTTCATTGCTCATGCAAAACTTTAGTTTAATTCAAGTGAAAGGTGTGGTGAATTCCATAGGATTACCTGTATTCTCCTGTACCAGGTTATTATATTGAAAACTCTTTGAAATACATAAAATGATAGCCAGAGCTTAGATACCTGTTCCCTAGAGTGTGTGTATGTGTATGTGTGTGTGTGTGTGTGTGTGTGTGTATATATATATACATATATATATATGTATAATTTTTTTTTTCCTGCAATGGAATGTGACATACTTGTGAGGGGGGCAGAAAGAACTAGCATTGATTGAATACCTGTTGTTTGTCCAGTACTCAGCTAGATACTGGGGCTACAGAGATGAGAAAAATACCTTTGCTTTCATAGCCAATTCATGAGGCTGGGCTGCAGCTGTGAGAAATGAAGTAACTTATTAAAGACCATAAAGCTAGTCAATGATAGAGCTAGAATTTGAACCCAGATCGTCGGTGTCTAAGACATGTCCTTTTCACCAACAGTTCTCTCTAAAGGTTTCTTTAAAAGCTCAAGTGTGCTGTTGTATTTTAGTGGTATGGTGTTAGGTTTGTTAACTAACACACCTTCCCTAAGTTCTTCTACACATGCATCCATTTTTACTTTTTCATTTCAAGAATTTGTCACTGAAGAGGAGTGTTGGAATACAGCGAGGATACCCTTTTCCCCCTTTGTCTTCATGGAGTAGGAGTGGTCTTCATGGGGCAGTTTGGAGTTCAGGTGTACCCTGGTACAGTAATAACCATGAAGTGCAGAGGGAGAATGCAGTCACTTTTTCCTTGCCAAAATGTTCTTTTCTTTGGTTCATGTTGTGGAGGCGTTGATACCCTCATGAGAAATTCTGTTACTTCCATAAAAGTCCTGAAGGTAGTAAAATGGAGTTATTTTAAAATATCCGTGCTTGTCCCTGTTCCTGAACGAAATCATCAGCATAAAATCCAAAGAAAAACGTTTTATTTTTGCCTGTAGTACCTGTATTTGTTAGTTTTTATAGTCAGTAAATAGTAATTCTGTACATTCTCTTACATTATTCATTATGTTGTTTGCCATCACTGTTCTATTTTGCAACCTTTAGAATTTGTAATGGGTGTATATGTTATAACTTAAATAGCTCTTCTTTTGAAGAATCAGGATTTTTTTAATTGATAAATGTTTTTTCTTTTTTCTTTATTTTTTTTTTGTCAAATGTTTTATTGAGTGTAGACATCTGGAGTACTGTAAAACATGCATTATCTGTAGATTCAAAAAGGAGCAAGCCACATTGTCCTCACTGTCAAATGTGTCAGGCTTGGCATACATGATGGAGATTAATGAAGTATCATGAGAGTAATATGGCTCCTGAAAAGCTTCTACTATTTGGAGTAGGGTCTTAATCACGTGAAAAGCAAAGCTGTTCACATTTAGTGAACTTGCATTTCACTGGAGGTACACAGTATTTTAATGTTAAAACAAATAAAAATAGTTTGTTTGTCGAAGATTCCCATCTCCCCAACTTTATTTGTCCCATCGGTTTTCAGAAATTTTAATTTAAAAAAGCCATATGTCTTTTGGAAATTGTATGTTTATCTGAGCAATAACTACATTTTATTTCTTCTTTAGTTGTGTTATTTAGTTATTTCTTCTTTAGGTGTGTTAAATTTGAAGAAGATAATATCTCCGTCTTCAACAATATAATTTCTGCCTTGTTGTCTGTACTTTCCAGCAGCCTTGACTGCATTTTCAGAACCTTCCTCTTTAAAATCTTCGTATTTCATTACTTCAGCCATAATGAATCCATTTTCAAAATCTGTGTGGATCTTTCCTGCAGCCTGAGGAGCATTAGTCCCTTTCCTGATGGTCCATGCACGCACTTCATCTGGGCCTGCAGTGAAAAAGTATTCTAGCTGGAGTGCTGCAAACCCAGCCTTAATGATCTTTGGCAAAGCACTTTGTGTCATGTTCGCTTCCAGATACTTCTGTCTCTTCTCAGCACTCAATTCTTGCAACTTGAGTTCTAAGGCCCCACTAAAAGGAATGACCAAGGCACCTGGGTCATACTTGTCCACCCACTCTTTAATTTTTATCAACCATTTGTTTTTCTTTCGAATGTAGTCTTTTTCAGAAAGATTAACCAAGTAGACCATTGGTTTTGAAGTCAAAAATAAGTGTTTATTCAACACTTCAATCTCTTTGTCATTCCAATCATGATAGAAGCAAACAGGTTTCTTTTGATCTATAACCCAGGATTTTACTTTGCACATTATATCATATTCAGGTTTTAGTTTTTTATCTCCTCCTCTCACAACCACCTTTTTTAGTTTATCTGTAATGGGCCCAATCATTTCCTCATCTTTAAGCTGAAGCTCTTCATGTATTATTTCTATCTCTCGAATAGGATCTACACTTCCTTCAACATGGTAATATCATCATCTTCAAAAGCACGTGTTAGGTGAAAGATGCCATCACAGGCACTAATATGAGATAAAAAAGCATTCCCCGGGCCCTGCCCATTGTGAACTCCTTTCACAAGGCCAGCAATATCCACTACGTTTAGAAAGGCAGGAATTTTGCTTGCTCGTTTGTGGTACTGGCAAAGAAAGTCAAACCTTTCATCTGGCACAAGTACTCTGCTCTCATTAGGATCAATAGTGCAGAATGGGAAGTTTTCTGCTGAAGCCTGACTATTGGTTAATACATTGAAGAAAGTAGATTTCCCAACATTTGGCAATCCAGCAATACCAATTTTCAGTGAGGTTCCAAATCTTCCAATGATTGGGGGTGGTTTAATTTCATCACCTCCCTTCTTGGGGGGCATCGTGCTTGGCCTGGGTGATGACCATGTTTTTTCTTTATAGTCATAATGAAGGACTTACAAATTTTAGCAAGGAACAAACCTGAGTTTTCAACAGACTCCCATGGCGCTTTAGTTAGCTATTTCAAAAGAACTTAATATACTATTTGAACATTTCAGGACACTAGGAAGTAGAATTGTGAGATAACTTAAGGACAGGAATCCAAACATATGTAGAAAGTGATGGATACATCTTTGAATTTTCTAAATAAGTAAAGGGAGATTTCCATTTTTTTTTTTTTACCCGTTTATTTATTTATTTTTGAGACAGAGTCTTGCTCTGTCACCCAGGCTGGAGTACGATGGCATGAACTTGACTCACTGCAACCTCCACCTCCCAGGTTTGAGAGATTCTTCTGCCTCAGCCTCCTGAGTAGCTGGGATTACAGGCATATGCCACCATGCTGGGCTAGTTTTTGTATTTTTTAAGTAGAGATAGGGTTTCACCATCTTGGCCGGGCTGGTCCCAAACTCCTGACCTTGTGATCCACCGGCCTCGGCCTCCCAAAGTGCTGGGATTAGAGGCGTGAGCCACTGCTTCCAGCCTTTTTACCCTTAGAACAACTGCTTTGTATGAACAAAATCTTCTGCCTGGATGCTGACTTCTTTGGACCTTTTTTGCCCTTTAGCAAGTTCTGTGGTCTCACCCTTGATCAGTTGGCCTGGGTTTGGGGAAGAAATGCATCCCTCTGGCAGCATCTAGGCATTCCCTGCTGTTATCTCCCTAATTCTTCCCTCCCTGTGATCACATAGAAGCTTTCCCTTGCCCTTGCCACCTGATAAGAGTTAAAGTTTGAAATGGGAGGCATGGGCCTCTTAGAGGGTTCTCGGCCTCTCATTTTCACCCATCTGCCTCTGCAGATGGGACCAGAGGGGTGGCCATGGCAAATGTGCCTGACATTTTCTTGCTTTGAATACTACTTCCTACTAATTCTGCTGTTGTTTCATTCAATATGTTAGGAGGAAAAGGGTTTTTCTTTCTTACATTGAAGAAGAATAATTAAAAGACTCCGGCCATTTTTATATTCCCCAAACTTTTATGAAATGCTTTGCAACTTCCATTAGTGCTAATTTTTAGTGGAGTTCTTCCTTAAAATAATGTGTAGTTGAACATAAAAGCTTATTTTTAGACTGCTAAAAATTTTACAGAGAACATGCATATAAAACCAGGTGTAAGTATATAAAATATTTCATATTGAAGTTATCAGAGCCTTATTATTTACTTAATAAGTCAAGCAAATTGCTAAAACAATATTAAAGTAACAAAAAAATTCTAAGAATAACTCTAGAAAGTGGTGAAACTTAAGTTATTCTGGAGATTTTTATCAGTCAGGCCAGACCAGAAGCTGAATAGAAGAAGAATCAGTTTATTTCATTTAATAAGAGATAATAATAATTAGATTAGGGAAAATATCTAAGCTTTAGGCAGATAGTGAAGGGCATTGACTTCTTTAAGAAAATTGTTTGGTTTATTCCTTCTTTAAGTGTATATGAGTAAAGAAATATACCTGGATTCTACTTTGGGTCCAAGAAAAACCATCAGTATTCTAAGAAATACTTTGAAGGACTTTGTCTGGTAAGCTAATTCTAGATCATAGATTTTATTTACAGAAAGAATTTTATATAATTTAACACAGAGACTTTATTATTGCTCATTGTGTATTTTGGGCTTAGCAATTCTTGCCCTGTTGGCAGTCTAAATTCAACTGTGGGCTTGCATGAAAAAGTTAAGCTATCATTGTTGATCACCTGGTAGAATCAGATCACATTATCAGTGTTGACACCATTAGATTGCTTCTGTAAGCAAACCTAGTATAATATCACTTAAGGGGTTTAGGGGTATTTTGCTTAATGGAATTAACAGTTTTGCCTTGAGTTGTAAAAATGCATTGAGGAAATGATAGAGGATATGAAAGAGGTCATTAATGACCAGCTCCAGAAAGATAATTGTAAAAATGTAAAATAAGATCTTGTGGATTAGGCTACTGAAAGTAATGTGTAGATTCCTGCAGGTCTGCATACCTGTCTAACAAGGTGAGTGTAGAAATTGCAAAGAAGCATGTAGATGCTTTTATAGCAGATGGTTAGAAAAATGGTTTGTCTGTTGAACTTAATAATAAAAAATATTGGTTTATAATTGTAGTCCTTTTTAATGTATTTTTTTCCCCTGGAAATTCATTTTTTGGTGTTTCATGAAAATCTTGGTCATAGATTGGGAAAGAGCAAAAACAAAAACTAGTTCTTTACCATACAGAGCACTAATCAAAATGTGGGGAAACTTCAGCATTATCTGGGAGCATGTTAGAAATGCAAGTTTTGCTGGACACTGTGGCCCACACCTGTAATCCCAGCACTTTGGGAGGCCAAGGCGGGTGGGTCATCTGAGGTCATGACTTCAAGACCAGCCTGGCCAACATGGTGAAACCCCATCTCTACTAAAAATACAAAAATTAGCCAGGCTTAGTGGTGTGTGCCTGTAATCCCAGCTACTTGGGAGGCTGAGGCATGAGAATCGCTTGAACTTGGGAGATGGAGGTTGCAGAGAACTGAGATCACACCATTGTACCCCAGCCTGGGCTACGTAGTGAGACTGTGTCTCAGGAAAAAAAAGTTCAAGTTTTGGGGCCCCATTCCAGACCTACTGAAATAGACCACCTGGGGTACCCAGGAATCTGTGTTTTAACAAGCTGTGCTGATGATTTTGTGCACATTATAGTTTGAGAAACATTGCTCTAGATCAGCACTGTTCAGCAGAACCTTCCGTTACGATGGAAATCTTCACTATCTGTACGGGAACTACTAGCCACTTATGGTTTTCAAACCCTTAAGATGTGGCTAGTATGACTGAGGATGAGAATTTTACCTTTTATTTAATATTAGCATGAATTTAAATAGCCACACATGGCCATTGGTACCAGCATTGGACAGCACAGCTCTAGGCCCTTTAGCATCTCTACCCTCTTTGAAGCAAAGGTGGATTTTTTTCTGTGTCTGTAAAGGAAAACATAATAGGAAACAAGATTGTCCTTTAACCTAAAATGACTCTGAGCAAGCTGTATAATTACATTTGACAGTTATTTACCTATTTATATTTTCCTATTTATTTTTATCTAAAAGTTGATTTGAATGTTCAGAAAATAGTAAGATCAGAGAATAAATTTAGATGTGTCTTGTAAGGCTTTACAAACAGCAAGGTAGCTGTTCCAGTGAGGCCTATGACCCTTCCTGTCTATGACTAACATGCATGGTGTCTTTCAACATGACTTTTGAAGCTTTTTTCTTTTATACTAAGATTTAAGATAGGCAGCTTTTAAGCATAACACTGTAGTTCTCCTGTTCTCAATAAAAACTACTGGCTATAGGGGTTCCCATTACTTTAGACCAGCAATGGATATTTTTACCATACAAAGTATTTCAGGTTTATCGCCCAATTAACTTTATAAAGAGAATCTTGTTTTTTTAGTAATATTTACCAAGCTTCCTTGAAAGACTTAAGTCTTATCCTCTGCCCCCTTTCCAATATATTTAAAAATTGATTTGTTAATAGAAGCAATTTCTTTGGTTCATTCGGGGTTACATATGCTTCTCCATCTCCTCTCTCCATCTATTTGTAAATGAGGAATAAAGTTTTAAACTCCTAAAAATCAATGATAAGATTGATTAGTATATTGACCGAGATCTATTGCAAAATTGGAAATTACGTTGTGATTGACAAGTAGAAGGAATTACTGTAGAAGTAAACACAGGCCAGGCACCAGTGGCTCACCCCTGTAATCCCAACACTTTGGGAGTCCAGGGCTGGGCGGATCGCTTGATGTCAGGAGTTCTAGACCAGCCTGGCCAATATGGTGAAACCGCGACTCTGCCTAAAATACAAAAATTAGCCAGGCATGGTGGCAGACTGTAATCCCAGCAACTTGGGAGGCTGAGGCAGGACAATCGCTTGAACCCAGGAGGTGGTGGTTGCAGTGAGCCAGGGTCGAGCCACTGCCCTCTAGCATTGGTGACAGAGCAAGACTCTATCTCAAAAAAAAAAAAAAAAAGTAAACACAAATCCACATGTAGAATTGTAGCTTTAAAAATGCTGTCTAGCCATGCAAAGTGAGTCTAATCATACAGCAGTTTTATTAGATATATTTACTAGGTTTTAGGTTTTCAAGCAGGAAATTGTTAGTCATTTAGGCAGTGACTCTTGAAGCATGAGAGACAGTAACGGGTGTCCCATGTGGTTTTTAGACTCATAGAACATTAGAATTGAAAGGTTCCTTAAAAATCATGGATAGGGCTGCCAGCATAGCCAAATTTATAATGCAGCATTGTCTGTTTATGGCGTGAGTTAATGCCGTATTGTCTCTCGTTAGTGTTCATTACAGATCACCACTGTTTTCTCATTAATTCTGTTGTAAGAATGGTTGTATACTCACAAAACAGTGAATGGTGGTAGGTTTTCTGGGCAGGTGCTTCCGTTTGACACAAGTGTCACTGATTAGGGGGCTTAACGTTTTGTAACTTGCTGCTTTGGGCTTTTTTTCTGACTTTCTTCAAAGAATGTCAAGTTCTAGATCTCTGGGCATGTATTTTTCTTTGTTTGTTTGTTTGTTTGTTTTATAGAAACTGGGTCTCTTATGTTGCCCAGGTTAGACTCATGGGCTCAAATGATCCTCCTGCCTCAGCCTCCTGAGTAGCTGGGACTACAGACATGCCACTGCGCCCAGCTCTCTGGGCATGTGTTTGAATTATTGCTGTAGGATTTTAAAGAATTGGAAAGCCCAGTGTGTTGGAATTTAGATCTGATAGTTTGACAGATCCTAAGCTTAAAAGGTTTGGAGATTCCTTGCTTCAAGTTTGTTCTCATCACTGCCACTGGGTCCTTGGAATGCTGTATGAGATGTTACTAAAAGATTGTGATTTCATAAGCTACACACAAAATAACCATACTCTGTCCATTTTTATCTGCACTTTGCATCTGCAGCATTTCATGTAGCAGAGCTCTCCCTGCGTGTTCTTGACTGTGTTGCATGTTTACTCTCGAACTAAGCTTTGTTGTTATTAGTGTGGTTGTGACAGATTTAAGCATTATCAGTTTTTACACAGGTCAGCATCATTACTGGAGATTCTGAAAGCAAAGCTTCTTTCTGGCTTCTTGGGATTGCAGAAGAATAGAGTTAGAAGGTACTTCTGAAGACATCTATCCATTTTCATTATGCGTAATGGAGTGGTGTCCTGGTCATGTAAATATTTGTGAAGTCACAGAGCTGATCTGTGGCCAAGGCTTGATTAGAATTCAATTCTCATTTTGCTATATAG